ACAAATCTACCAATGGCGGAAACTACTATGAGGGATACCATCACTAAGAACCCCAAAATCTCGACGCCACTCAATATTTTGTGAACTGGACAGATGCAACGGTAGGTGAATCTTAAGAAAAAGAGATATTTTTGAAAAATAAACCATTTTTGATTTTTTTCCAAAACAATTCGCTTCACATAAAAAAGTAGGTAAGTATAGCTCTTATTTTTGTTAGAAATATAATTTTAAATACAGAGTAACCATGACAAGATAAAATAAATCTTTGGCTTAAATTTTATTTTAGACATTTGAAAACAAATACATAATTAATTTTTTTATTAAACATAAATAAAAACATGAATTTAGTTATTTTCAATTAAATCTACTACGAATCGCGTTTCGAACTAAATGCACTTATCTAATTTCCAAAATGTTGAGTCGCCTCGAAGTTCTGGAATTCTCAGAGGCGGTATCTCCCAGAATCTCCGCCACTGGTTAAGAGATTTATGTAACAACTCGGCGAATTTTTGCTCATAAATAGTTGAGTCATTATCCCAAGTTTTATCAACATCAACGTCGAACAATTTAAAAGATATTTAAATAAGTGTGACTTTTTTTTATTTCGACACTGTATCTCGAAAGCGAACAGTTCTGCAAAGAATTTTATATTTTGTGTAACTGTACAACACAACACACTTACACTTATAACATTAAAACATTCTAGATACTGCTAAGTTACAGCAAAACTGTAGATTTTTTTTAGAAAAGTTAAAACTTTTTTAGTAAAAAAGTAAAACGGAGTCTAGTTATGACAATACCACGTCACTGGAGCTATTTAGCCGAAATTGCTGTGCTGATAGGGTTATTGGTATCACAATTACACATAACATTTTTAACTTACCTTGTAACTATCAAATGAAACCAATTTTGGCTAAGTTATACAGGGTGTTCCTTAATGATATGCGAATATTTAAGGGTATGATTCTATATGGGAAATTAATGATAGTTTGCTTTATAAACTATGTAGGCTATTGATTATGGCATATGGTATGGAACTACAACGTCAATGGGTTTTTATTGCATGAATCGTTCAAATGCTTATTTAGAATAAAAAAACCGCGGAGTGCTATTAAATTAAAGGGTGGAAATTGGAGAATTTTAATTTTTGAAGTGGGAAGTAGCTATACATATAGAGTAAGAGAGAATTGAAATTTTTATTTTAAAATTTGTATTAGGACATTATTTGAGGTTATAAACAGATTTGTTTTATAAAAATGTTGTGTAAAATAATAAATAATGGTACTTCTCTCGAGTATTTTAGTGGTTTTTTAATTTATGAGCACCCTGTATACTAATCTAAGATGTTTGTATGACAGTCTCATTTTTTTCGAGGGGCAGAACTTTTTATAAAGAGTGACTTTTTTCGATAAAGTCAAAAACAAAAGAGTTTCTCCTCTTGTCAACTCCATCCGAGGACACACTGAATATACATTATTGTTAATAAACTTTATTGTACTTAAATTCTCAAATTATTTTATTAAATAAGTAAAAAAAAAAAATCAAAAAAATCTTATTTTTTTGCTTTCTTTAAAATGTTTATTAACGATTTTTTGCATAAAATTTTCCTTCTACATTTTTCAAATAAGCCATTTCGATGAGAAATTCAATTCTCTACAAATTTTTTTCTATAAACTATACCGAAATTTTGCTTCGTTTTCGTGCTTTATTTAAAAAAACTGCAGCTTTTTCACACCTATCTTCAATTTCAACCCTCCAATTTAATAGCACCCCGCGGTGCGGTTTTTTCATTTTTAATGACCCTTCGAACAAGTCATGTGATGAAAATCCTTGAACGTCTTATTTCCTTCCTTTTTTTGCAAAAAATGAGAATTAAAACGTTTAAGGGTAAACACGACGAAAATCGAAAAATTGGCTAAGTTTGAGCGGCCATATATCAGTCAATTTTCATCCAAAAATACTCTACAATCTCTTGTTTTGAAGGAAATTCTATATACCTTTTTTTCTATGAAGCAATGCCTATACCTATCTCTGCTCAGAAAAAAGTTATTTGCATAAAAGTAAAAAAAAAAACAAAAAATTGAATTTTTTGCATTGTTTTGTTAAATTGTTTTTAATATGTTTTGTAGTATATAATTTTTTTAAATAAGCTATTTCGAGAGAAAATTTCATTATCTACAAAATTTTTCCTATGCAATACCCTCAAATTTTGCTTCGTTTTTGATAAATATACTCAAAAAACCGTAAGGGTTGCATTTTCACCCCTATCTCCAATTTCCACCCTCTAATTTAATAGCACTCCGCGGTTTTTTCTTTCTGAATAACCATTTGAACTATTCATGCAGTAAAAACCCATCAACGTTGTAGTTCCTTAGTACCCTGCTTTTTAAGACATAATCAATGGCCTAAGGTCCAAAGATGTTCCGTTGCGAAAATACGGGGTGTTAAAATTTTCAGAAAAAGAAGGAAATTAATTAATATTTTCGAAACCGCTCGAGATATTTCAGTGATATTTAGTACGTAGTGATAGTTAATAAAGACGCACCTCGAGACGTACATTTTTCAATACAAACAATTTTTAGCTCTAACAGTGGCGTGCGTACGAGCACTGACTTCGATATTTTTAAAGAAAAAAATGGTACGCCAATTATTCTTTCATTCAACATTTTCTTTAAAAGTATCAGTCAGTGCTCGTAGGCACGCCACTGTTGGACCTAAAATTTTAACACCCCCGTGTTTTCGCAACGGAACATTTTTTGGCCATAACTTATAAAGCAAACCACCATTAATTTTCCAAGTAAAATCGCACCCTCAAATATTCGCAGATCATTAACGAACACCCTGTATTTGGCCAACTTACCACATTTTGACCCTTCAAGAAAAGTGCCCTATGAAACGGAACGAAAGATCGCTAATCGTTCGAGGTTGGTAATGAAACAAAAGAAAGTCGATACTATGGCCTACTACGAGACCCGCTTATTAATTGAAAACCCTGTAACGAATCTGCGAGCGTGAATAATTCTCGCGAGGTAAACATGAATCATGACAACATTGTTGACGTCGACTCATACGCGCGGTAATATTCCTTAATTTTTAACCACTGGCTTCCTAACGGTCTGGTATTCAAGACATATACAGGACGTCCGGAAATTATGGTGATTCCAATTATTAAAAAAATTAATATTTAGAAAACTTTAAAAACTGTCAAAATTTGTTTTTTAATAATAGAATAAAAGTTAAACTTAAGTTATTTCTTGAGCTGATTAGGACGACGTAAAATAACAAAAAAAAAATTAATAAATAAGAAAGTGGTGATTGGTATGTTTCTTTGTTAAATTACTAGTTATTGTACTACAATTTAAACAGAATCGTGAGAACTATTAATTAGCAAAGATAATAATAGTTATTGTTTGACGAACAATAACACCCTCCTACCAAAACAATTAATAGTCTTTAAAAACGCAATTAAGGTGCATTAAACTTGTATTTAATATTCATATCAAATAAATGACTTGATAAATTAAAAATATTACGCCTAATACTAGAAATTCAAAATGAACAGAAAATACACATTTCTTTTAGAATTTAGATTATAGTCTATAAAAATTCCCCGTCTGTTTTATCAGCCCAAAACCCAATTCCTGACGTATTTAACGGCAGGATATTGCATTTACTGTTTCAGGGAACCCACAATTTCACTGAAAACTAGGCAAACCAAAACAATTAACTCACAGATGTGTCATAAAGAAAACCTACGTTTTTTACGACACTCTCGAAATCGGCGATGAGTAATAACGAAGTATCTCTAACTTCCTACAAGGCAAGGTAGGATGCATAGGAATGTACATTTTCTAAATATGAGAAAGCATTTCGCCGCTGCATGCCAAAATGTTGCGAAAACCGTACGTATTTTAAAAATAACTCGATCTGCCCTTTGCACAAGGACCCTAGAGCGCAGGTGAATCCGCAGACGAAAACATTCCCGTTTGTAAAAAATTGATAGGCAATCGACAACGCCCTACCCGTCAGTTTCGTCTCTTAACAGAACAATTTAGAACAGTTTGTGGGATAAAAAACTTCTAGAACACCTTTACGCCGTGAGGATTTTACGGGAGGCCCTCCTAACAGCCCTTTCGGCTGCCAGTGGAAGAAAAATGACGCATCCATAGCCGGGCAACGGCGACGTAGACGTCACCTATTCCAAACAAATCGGACAATCCTCTATTGTCGGGCCGAAAATCGGTTCGAATTTTATGTGGCAGAGGCGTTGACCAATTCCCAATCAATCGCGAACGAAAAAAGCAACAGAATGACAGGAAGTCGGTCCTATTTGGTTACGCAACTCATCATATGTTCTTGTATGGATATGTGGAAAAAGAATGCAGTCGGACGCCTTCATTCCAGCAATGCTACCTACATACGTGGTCCGTGAAGCGAAGAGGAAAAAAAAATGCAATTTGGAATGACAGTTTCGCAGGAATTTCTTGAATTCAAACGGTCCCGAGTCGCAGGCCGGATCAGGCTTGAGAAAATACTTTTTTTTTCAGTAAAGTCGTTAAACTTGTCTCTAAACTACTTATCCCTAGCTTAATCGATCTCTGCGTTTTGGTTTTTTGTACGTCGAATTTAGATAAAGGCGAGCTAAATGAATCGAGGGGAGATAACGTTGGGGTGCAATGGTTTATTGATGAGAACGCATTGCAAAAAGAATGATTCATTGCCGAGGAATCTACAGAAATATCGGGTTACTTTAACAATGTTGAAAAGATCGATACAGATTCTGACATTTCGCTGGCGGAATAAAAACGCAATTAGCTAGAATTGTAACATATCAAGAGAGCTTATCATTGTTATAGTCAAATAAACGAAAACAATATTAGTTTTTTTTTTAGGGAACTGTCAAAAATGTCAATAATGGAGCAGCGTCTCATAAACCGACAAAGTATTTAGCGGTTCGATAATATACGAAAAAATTTGTGATACTACGGAAATACACTTACCATCGTATCGCTCAGCTTGTTCGGCTAATTTTGCCTTGTAAACGTTATCCTCCCTTTCAGACATTTTCGGATGATTTTGGATAGAATTTCACCTCACTTACACACAAACCGTTTTACACTTTCGCGTACTGCCAATATGGCCGCGCCCGCCACACTAAATAACCGACTATGATCGAATTCCGTTCGTCACTCACCGCCGATTGACGTCACGCATAGGCGCCAAATTCAAACTTTAGATGTGCTGCTGATGGGTTTTCATGAAGATCTCCCAATGGGGTTGATTTCGTGAATGCAGAATCGGATTGAAATATTTGATGGATGACTGTTGACAAGTAATTTCAATTATTTATAAACAGAGAAGCATTGTTTTCCAAGGCATTCTGTCTGGGAACTGAGAAAATGATGCAAATACATTGAAAACCCATAGCCAGAATACGAACAAATCAATTTATTAAATAAAAGCATAATATAATAATTGGAAAATTTGAAAAATACGGTTCTAGGGACTATTTACAAACAAAAATTGTAATATTTATATATAGGTATGTAAAAAAGAAAACAGATTTTAGTATGGTAATCTCATCCAAAAAGTGATATTTCTTAATAATTTTTTAAATCATTGTATTTAGAGGTACTTAAATTCACAATACCATTGATTTTTACTTACCTTTTCTATTCTTTTAAATCTTAACAACTGCAATCAAATTTTATTTACTTTTAAAACATTTAAGCTTTTGTATGTCGCAATGGGCACCTTCCGAACTTAGTGTTGCCTGTTTGCTACCTTTTTAAATTGACCGTTTGAAATTATGAGTGACAGAGAGCTTAACTGCAACGGAAAATAATTTCGTATTGCTACAGATTGCTTTTAATTAATATTTTTTTAATGTTTTATTAAAATACTGGTTTATGGATAGGCAAATGTTACCAATTGTCAAGTAAAACTAAATTTCATATAATTATTTTAGCCGTTCTATAAAATGAATATAATAAAAAATAAAAATCTCTGATAAGTGTTAATGTATTTTTTTAGTTATTTCCAGCTTTTAATGAAAGATGTTTTTCTTAAAGCACTGTGTTTAGTTTCTGAATCTGAGTCAATGACCTTTGACATTGGTGTAGTTTAGGTGAAATTCATATCAATCAATCTGATGTGACAACAAAGTGCTAAGCAGATGATAGGCCTTCACGGCCGTGCTGGTATCTAAAGCACGGTGGTTTTGCGGGACATAATGCAATGATCTAGATACCTGGTTGCCGCCAGTCACAATTGTTTTTCACTTCCTTAGCCTTATCTAGGGATCTTGGACCTGCCTTTGTTGTTCTCGGGCTAGGCTGGGAGAATATAGCCCCGTTTCAACTTATCGACCTGGCATTTGTAATACGGTAATTTTGCGACTTTCTGTGTCAAGCATTAGTTTTTAATGGAATCGAAATAAAATTTGTATTCAAGTTACTTGAGTGTTCGGTGACAGTATAGTGTGTTGGTGTCTTCAATATTAAATTACTGTTAATATTGTACAACTTTATGTATGTGAAACAAGAAATATAAGATTGGGTACGATTATGAAAAAATTTAAAAAAAAGTTTTCACAAGGGAATTTGTGAAGAAAATTTGCGCCTTTTTTACCTGATCCATTTTTGTGCTGCAAATCCTGCTTTAATGTGCAAATTATCATAAATTTTAGATAGATACTTATAAACGGTTTATTAATCTGCAATTTTATTAAACATCGTTTCATGTGTATAAAAAATTGCTATTAAAATTTAAAAAAATTGTCTGTCATGGTTGGCTATGAATTTATAACTTTTTTTATTCTGACGAATAAAAATTTCACATAGTGACCTTGAAAAACAAGTGAACTGCATGCCTTCTTTGATAAATTTTCTTGTTAAATATAACCACAATAGGACACAAATCTGGCCTGATGCAGGTACTAGCACCACATTTAGTCAAAGACGAGTAAAAGACAAGACGTTTTATTAAAAATTTATTGACCTCTAATTCAACGAGAAGCATTTTTCATATATTAATATAATATATATACAATATAATTGAAAAATCAGATCATAGTCTCTTCTTAAATTCATCGGACTCTAACCCATAAAAAACAAAGAAAAAAATTACGCAATGTACTTTTATTTACATTATCACATATCAGGAAAAAGCTGTAGTAAATCTGATGGTTCAAATCATAATATATACAAAAAAAAGAAAGGAAAGTAAAATCACATAAGATATTTACAAGATACTTTTGCAACAGAATTACTAAAACCGGCGCTGACCGCCTACGCCCCCCTCCCCCTCCTATCGCTCCCGATGAAAGGAGACCCATCTCTGAAGCCCTCCGAACTAAAATGACTTTATAAGGAAAAGTAATGGTAATGGATAGAATTAAAATACGGCACTAGTTTCAAAATTAATATATATCGGGGCACTGCGACCAGTCCTGTTTCTCTTTTGCCTCCCAGTAAGTCCCTTTGTAGACGTGGTGGACGACGTCGGAATCGTCCTCCTTCGTCTGCTCGAACCACAGGGGCCTGTATGGCTGATATGGACGGTCTGCAAGAAACACTCAATATGGAGCACAGCCGACGAAAATATGATCACTTCAAAACTGATGCATCAAAAGTGAGTACCAAATTTGAAATGGATTTTATAGCAAAAGGCTAATCTGATTTTGACAATTTTTTTTCAATTGTAGGCTTATTATCCAATAACATACTAAGACAGGACTGTTTACTGAAATTTGAAACACCCCGTAAAGCGTATGCTTGAATCGAACTTATCGAAAATTTTGATAAAAATCTCCATCTTAGCCTCATGACTGTGGAATAAACAATAATCCAAAGAATATTGTCAAAATCAGGCAAGTTGTTCGTGAAAAAATCAAACTTTTAAAATGGGGCTAATTTCTGTGGTACTTTAATTTTGATGTGAACTGTTTTATTAGACCAGGCGGGATCTGTTTTGGTGTAGATGTTTTATATAGCATCACTAATTTTTGCTTTAATGGCTCCAAAATGATATAACAAAACATAATTTCACTATGCGCGCGCTTCAAAACGTGTGCTAAACTTATTTTTAAACAAATAGTGAAAAAATTGGAAAAGATTCGTAATTAAATTTTACACAAGATATACCTATTTTCAAATAAAAAAAATACAACAATTATTGCAATTATAGCAAAAACAAAAAGTGAAAAAATTACAATATTTTTGCGATTTTTTTAAAAGTACTTATATTATAGGTAGGATCTTCATACTTGGCCAAAAAAATCTTTTTGATATAATAAAACATCACACCAATTTTCGTTAAAATCAGACCGATAGTTTTCGAATAATTTTGCAATCCAGATTTTTGAAAAATAATTTAAATTTTTACAAATTTAACTGAGCTAAGAACTAAGAAACTAAGAAACTAAGACTTCTATATACTTGAAAATTTTATCACATAAAAAGAGCACTCAAACTTACGTTACGCATATCTTTAAACAATTACCACGGGTCTCCTAATTAATGGATTTCAATTATTCTGGACGCATTTTAAAGTTTGAGTGCCCTTTTTTATGTGATAAAATTTTCAAGTATCTAGAAGTCTTAATTTAGGCTCAGTTAAATTTGCAAAAATTCAATTTTTTTCAAATATCTGGATTGCAAAATTTTTACTCAAAAACTATAGGACCGATTTTAACGAAAATTGGTGTGATGTTTTATTATATGAAAAAGATTTTTTTGGTCAAGTATGAAGATCCTACCTATAATATAAGTACTTTTAAAAAAATCGCAAAAATATTGTAATTTTTTTCACATTTTTTTTGTTGTTTTTGCTATATTTGCAATTAATATGTTTTATTTTTTTATTTGAAAATAGGTATATCTTGTGTAAAATTTAATTATTAATCTTTTTCTCCTTTTCAATTTTTCTCTAAAATTAATAGTTTTTCAACCGTGTTGAAAAAAAGAGAAAGAAAATGGAATTATTTCCAATTTTTTCACATTTTTTTAATAATAAGTTTAGCATACGTTTTGAAGCACGCCCAGAATGAAATTATGTTTTGTTATATCATTTTGGAGCCATTAAAGCAAAAATTAGCAATACTATATAAAACATCCATACATGGGTGTCTTGAAACAGATCCCGCCTGGTCTATATATATTATTTGTTTTATGAAGATGGTAAATAGAGGACTTACACAATTTAATTTTCTTGATCTTCAACTGCAGAAACAAGCAGATTATCAAAAATGTAGTTTTTTTTTTGGTAAATTTTTTTAAATATTTACTATTATGAGGCAATAAAAATAGTTTTTTCCAATTACTTTCCAAACGTATAACGTTCCGCTGTTGAAATCTTACAGAATGCTTAATGATGAAAAAGCATCTTTTAAATGTATTTTTAATTGTTGTTTCATTAGTGGCATAGAAAACATGAGTGGCGAATAGATTTAATAATAAAAAATTATAATTATACAGGGTGTATGGTAAGTGGATGCATTTTTTGCAGGAGGTTATAGTACAAGTGATTTGTGATATATTTCCTTAATATACCATATTCCGAAAAGGCTTAGTTTCCAGTCTACAGGGTGTTAAAGTTTTAATAAAAAATGAAAATTTGTAAATATTGCGGAAACCGCTCAGAATATTTTAATGAAATTTTACAAGCGTTGACAGTTAACAACAATACATGTTTAATGATAAAAAATATTGTTGTCAGTTTCACCAGTGGTGATTTTCCTTAAAATAAAAATTATTTTTGAATTCCTTGTTCAATTTGGAAGAGAAAAGGTATCTCGACTGTTTTTCTTATGACGCACCATTTTCGAGTAAAAAAATTAAAATTGATTTATTGCATGGCGTAATCCGGTTTCAATAATTTGAAAAATAGCAGAAATTAAGCACTCAGCTTTTTTTATACCAATTTTATTACAAAAAATTATTACTCCTCGCAGTTAACATCGGTCTAAAAAATTTTTTTACATTCACTATTCACTAATTTAAACAGAAATTAGCAAGTTGGCTGTGCACTCGTTTTTACGGGCACGTGCATGCATTGTAAGGGGACTTCATTTTGAGCAAGATCTTAAGTAATTACTAATTAGAAAAAGGTAATAACATACTAATTATAAGTACTAGTATTTTTTTCCTTTCTTAACGAATTTTGAAGATTAGTTAATCCAATTTTAAATTACAGATAACATAGTCTAATCTCTAATTAAATGAAGAAGCTTTTAGACTGATGTGAACTGCGGATAGTAATAACATGTAATAAAATTGGTACAAAAAAAACTAAGTGCATAATTTCTGCAATTTTTCAAATTAATATTGAAACTGGATTGCGCTATGCAATAAATCGATTTAAATTTTTTTACTCGAAAATGGTGCGTCATAAGAAAAATAGTCAAGATACCTTTTCTCTTCCAAATTAAACAAGGAATTCAAAAATAATTTTAATTTTAAGAAAAATCAGAGGTGTATCATTTTTTTCTTTAAAAATATCCGACGTGCCTGTGCGCACGCCACTGGTGAAATTGAAAACAATATTTTTATCATAAAATCATAAAACATGTATTGTTGCTAATTGTGAAAGCCTGTAAAATTTCAATAAAATATTCCGAGTTGTTTCCGCAATATTTATAAATTTACATTTTTTTATTAAAACTTTAACATCCTGTAGATCGGAAACTAAGCCTTTTCGGAATATGGTATATTAAGGAAATATGTATATCACAAGTCACTTGTACAATAACCTCCTGCAAGGAATGCATCAACTTACCAAATACGTTGTATACCGTTGACATAATACAAAATTGCTTATTTCTCAAAATCTTTGCGCATTTTACAACAATAAAGTGCTATCAGGTTTTCTTAAAAGCCTGCACATACATACGCAATGGAGGTAGCGGTGGCATTATTCGAATCGAATTTGAATATAAACACCGCTCGTTTTGACCCCATTGTTTCTATACGTTACATTCAAACGCCACCGCCACCGCTACTGGGTATGTACAGGGTAGGAAAGTACCGATGGTCTATCTGAAGTTACGTGAGAGCGATAAAGTAAGCCATAGAAATCCATGCGATAGAGAAGGATGGCTATAATGAAGGCGTGTCATAGTCACCGCCCGTTTCGCCCTTCCACAAATAAGATCCACTTCTTATTTGTGGAAGGGCGAAATGGGCGTTGACTATGAGACACCTTCATTATAGCCATCCTTGTCCATCACATGAATTTCTATGGCTTACTTTATCGCTCTCACGTAACTTCTGATAGACCAATGGTACTTTCCTACAACGTATGTGCAGGCCTTTATAAATTCAACCGTCTATGAATAATATGTATTTAAAAAAAATATAAATAAATTACCACATTTAAAATACACATTAGGGATGTTTCACTTAAAACTCTGTAGCTCTGGAAAAATAAAACTTGCACAAAATAAAACTATTTTCTATTATAATTTTGTCAAATGGACCGCCCTGTACAAAGATTTTGAAAATACAATTTTTGTATTTTGGTAGTGGTGAAACTACTTTTTTTAACAAAGTGGTAAAATAAAAAAGTTGAAAATACATTTAGAAAATGTGAATTTTCATTAAAAAAAAACATTCAGCCAAGTTCACATAGGAAAATATTGTGTCTAGAAAATATTTAACACATTTTTTCAGGAAAAATAAACCTCATTATTTTAAATAAAACATATGGCGTCCCACAAATAATTGTCACAATGTCATCATTAAAATGACGCTACGATATAATTCTTCATCTTAATATTTTTTGAAATTTTTAATTTGCAAAAATTATACTATTTTACAAATTAAGATGTTTTTAAAAAAAAGTACCTGTTAGACAAAAGTTGGTTTTGATGAATTAAATGTGTGGTTAAAATTTTGGCACTTACTTCTGGGACCTGTAGATAACAAACTATCTCCATTTTCTAATAATCTACCTGTTCTAAATAAACTAATAATACTGTACAGCAAAGTAAAAAAAAACATCAAAATCTTATCTCAAATTTTAAATTCTTTTTCTAAAGAAAATTTCGGTTTACAACTTAAAAAGTTCAACAGCAAAAATTCAAGTAATTTTTTATAATTTTCAGTTCTGATTTGAAAATAAAGAAAATAATTGAAAGCGGCAAACATGAAAAAAATTTCGATTTTTTTTTTGAAAAAGTTAAGAAAAAATAGATTGTTTTGAATAATTTTTTTGTATTTTTTTTTTAAAATACATCCAAAACAAAGAAAATGGAAAAAAAAGTTATTTGGTCCATATTTGGACGAACAGTGGGCTTTAAAAAAAGACATGCAATACATTTGAACTCAAATAAATCATTTTGAAACCTTTTGACTATTTGAAATTGTCATCAATCGCTGCAGAATCAATAAAATAGAAAACGAAAAAACACCTCTTAAAAAATTTGAGGATTTATAAATGTTTATATGAAAAAAAAAAAAAAATTTCAATTTATAAAATATGTTATGAAAAAAAAATCAAAAATGGTAATCGAGAAATTTTCGTTTTTTTTTTCGAAAATTGAAACAAAAACCAGTGAAGATAGGTCCAGAAAATTTTGATCTATTTTTTTCAGAGTACATTTAAACAAAAATTTTGAAAAAAAAAGCCGATATATCAATTTTTGAAAAAGTTATGGTTATTTTTTTTAAATTCATCTTTTTTTGTTGGGTGAAAAAATTTGAAAAAATTCTCAGGTTTTCAATGGGATAGAAAACAATAAAAAAGTCTCAGCCAAATCGAAAGGGACCAGGGTTAAAAATGGTCGATTTAGCGAGGAATGTCCCCTGTATATTTGAAATTACATAAATTCGATATTTATTTTATTTTTCTCATCGTAAGAAATAATTTATAATCTGATTCAAGAATTTGTTATATCTGGCTTATTTTCAACTTTTGACTAAAAATGGTTACGATAAAATTCGTTGAAAATTTTATTTTCTACAAATTTGGTCAACAGTGTTTTGCATCTACGATTGATATTTTTCATCTTAAACCCGAAAAAACCTGAAGAAATTAAATTATTACATAATGATTTGAAAATAAATACTGTGGTATCAAATTATCACAATTTCAGCTCTTTTTTTATATATAGGGAACAAAATTACTACTAAAAGAATTTTAAAAAATCCTCCTTTACCTTCCGCGGCGGCCTGCTCAGCCTCCGCCTCCCTCAACCGGCGCACCGCTCGCTGCTTCTCCTCCAGCCGAATCTTCTCCTTATTGGCGTCATCCCACTTGCCCTCCTCCATGAGCCTCTGGTCGGGCCTCAGCCTCGAATCGGTGGGCGCCACACCCTCCTCCGGCTCGTTCAGTTGCGCCGCCAACAACGAGAAGTTATAGAATTTCTCCGAGTCTTCCGGTGGGGGATGACGCTTCCATGCTAAGACCGACGAGCCGGTCTCGTACACGGGGTTACTGGCGGTGCCCGAGTCGCCCGTCACTGGGGCGATTTCCACCTGGTCGTCCCAAGTGCCGGTGATGATCCACTTGACGCTGCCCGAGGCGTCCATAACGACGCCCTTTACGCGCCGCTGGGTGTCCCTCGTGAAGTAAGAGTACGGGATGTACTTAAGGTGGCACTTTATGCCGAGGGCGCTGCCTTTGCCGATGATCTCCATGTCGCCTAGAATAGGGATTAAAAAAAGTGCTAAGTTTAAGAAAGAAGATATACAGGGTGATAATATAGGGTTCCCTATCCCTGTGTTGAATTATCACCATAAGGTAACAAGATTAATCCTGATATTGCGAGATTCCAAAATCCCGCAAGTTTCGTAGGAATTGTTTGTATTTGGCTTCCTTATAAGACAAACAAAATTTAAATGTCAGTCACCTCATTGGTGGACCCTTTTATCATCATCTGCATATTTTAATCCAATAAAGACCTTTTTTTGAATGTATATGGGGCATTCCATGCCAAATCGACCACATTTATTCCTGATCCCTTTCTATTTGGCCGAAACTTTTTTGTTATCTACCCCATTGAAAACCTTTTCTTTTCAAATTTTTTCACCAACTCAAAAAAGATGAATTTTTGAAAAAGAATTGCTTTTTTTTAAAAATAACCATAACTTTTACAAAACTTGAGTTATTGCGACGTTTTTTTTTCAAAATTTTTGTTTTTAAATGTACTCTGAAAAAAATAGATCAAAATTATCTGAACCTATTAAGTTTTTTTTCAATTTTCGAAAAAAATCGAAAATTTCTCGATTATCATTTTTGAATATTTTTTTTAAAAATTTTATAAATCCTCAATTTTTTCAGTGGCGTTTCTTCGTTTTCTATTTTTTTATTGATTGGAAAAAAATGTTTTTATTTCAAATTTAGCTTATTTCACATGAAAATTTTGAAAATGTATATAGAATCCCAGAATTGAACAAAAATTTATTCTATGCAGCTATTGATGACAATTTTAAAAGTCAAAAGAGGATGGTTTCAAAATGATTTATTTGAGTTCAAATGCGTTGCGTGTCTTTTTTTAAAGCTCACTCGTCTGAAAATGGACCCAATAACTTTTTTTTTCATTTTCTGTTTTTGGATGGTTTTCGAAAAAAAAAACAAAAAAATTATTCACAACGATCTATTTTTTTCTTAACTTTTTCAAATAAAATCGAAATTTTTTTCATGTTTACCACTTTCAATTATTTCTGTCATATACATTTTTTCAAAAATTTTCAAAATAGTACGCGAAATAAGATAAATTTGAAAAAAAAAATTTTCGATTAAAAAAAATTGAAAACGAAAACAAAATTTTAAGGATTTGTTTTCTTAAGAAAAAAAAAAAAATTCAAAAATGGTAACCATCGATAAATTTTCGTTTTTTTTTATAAAATTTAAAAAAAAACAGTGAAGATAGGTCTAGATAATTTTGATCAATTTTGTCAAAAAGTACATTTAAAAACAAAAAGTTATGGTTATTTTTTTAAAAAAGCAATTTTTTCAAAAATTCATCTTTTTTTGTTGGGTGAAAAAATTTGAAAAAATTCTCAGAAGTTTTCAATGGGGTAGAAAACAATAAAAAAGAATCAGCCAAATCGAAAGAGGTCAGGGTTAAAAGTGGTTGATTTGGGGTGGAATGACCCATATAATTGGAAAATCAATTTATAGAGCAATTTTATGACAAACTGCAGCTATTAAAGTAATCACTTTTTTAGTTATTTCAATATCAGGAACCAATCACGAATATAAAAATTGGAAATCCTATATACAGGGTGTTCTATTTAAAAATACCCAGCCTAACACCTCAAAAAAAAAAACATTAAATTCTAAGTAACTTGTTATACAACCAGTTTTTAAAGAAAAAACTTATTGCATATAATTTTTTTCAAATTAATTTCATGTCTTCATACTTTGGAATCTTTATTAATACATTTCACTGATTAAAACTGTAATAAACATTATTTTAACCAAGTTCCTATTCGATCGGAAATGATTTATTTTAATTATTTGGTTTTAATCTTTTCTTATTACAATTTTTGTATTTTTCTAGCATTAAATTTTGCTTAACTCTTTCAAGATGACACCGGTTTCAATATGTGCTTCCATCAGACAAGCCTTGGATGGTTTTACGGATCCAAACGGTTTTTGTAACAAAATCATTGAATATGTGATGTGATCTCATCCCCATTATTTTTCAAAATTTTAATCCTATAAAAGTTTATATACTGTTTTGTATATGGACAAAAATTGATAAAGTGGAACGAAAATCTGTCACGGTTATATTCCTTTGTAAGGGTTCGATTGTTACAGTTCTTACAAACAATTTCCGAAATAACGATTCTCAGACACCCCCTTCGGTTTTCGAGATATCCTTTCAAGGTACTTCAAACAGGGCACCCTGCTCTTCGGAAAAGAATCTAGAACCCCATTTTACTTACCGTGCTGATCCACCCACAGTTTGCCCACGATAATATTGTGAACTGTTGTGGTGACTTTCCTCCAGGAATACTTGTTGCCGCTACCCACAAATTCCACGTGAGCGATACCCAATGGTATCACCTGAAAATTAAACCCATCGGGTCATTTCCTAAACGTTAATTGAGAAGCAATAATGTTTATAATTTCCAGAGATGCGATTTATAAAAATATTTAATCCAAAACAGCTCCAGGCTCGGTCTGATATTTATTTCAGTTCTTATTGATGGTTCTAAAGCTGCGATGGACTGGTTCGCTCCTGGGAGCGAAGGGAGAGGTGGTCTTCCGAGACTTAAGCGCCCTCAGTTGCAGCAAAGCCTTTGCAGAGCCATCACTAAAGATGCCAAGAGTGGTTCCGTGCGTAGTGGCTTTGGAACCAACAACAAGAAGCGAAATGAACATCAAAGCAGGCCTAGGATTTCTAATAGCTGGTCTACCCCCACAGAGCAGGTCAAAGAGTGTAAGAAAAACTTCCATATCAATTTTAATTTTTCAATAATAACCCACCAGTTCCCAATATTTTTGTCAGTGTCTTCCACGTACATATTTAATAAATTATTTCAAAAATTGGGTGCCATAAAGTTTGTACCCAATGCGAAACATTTTGACTTTCAAAAAAAAAATGCTTGCCTGAATTTTAAAGGAATTTTAAGAATACAAATTCCTACCTGCAAGTATTTTCCCCTAAACTTGGATGTCATGGTGAACTCCTGCCAGCACCGCCACTCCTTACCCTCGCAGAACTGCGCCACCATGGGAGGGTGGTGGGACACCTGCTCGTTGATGGCGCGCCAACCCAGATCGTCCGAGCGATCGCACTCGAAAGTCTCCCCCAGCAGCGGATTGAAAGGCTTGCCGGTCCGGGTGCTCGTCGTAGAGTAGGACGATATGGTGAAGGCGGCGACGTAGGCTAACTGTTCGCAGGGGTCGGTACATCTGCGATGTGAATCGGGATTAAGAATAGAAATTGAAAATCCATTTTGTCTCACAGAATATTATTACTATGCAGTGCTGGTGCTACATGGAACTTCTAAACTGTAACTTTTTATAAAATAGGAAGAACACAAACAAATAAGCACCATTTTAGGGGATATGTCAAAAAGTTCTTCATAAATACATTTATCCCGCACTTGCCGTTCCTACTCTCATCGATAAACTATTTCTATCTAAAAACTAAATTTTTACTGAAAGAAGGACACAAAATGTGTATACCAAATCCAAATTTGAACCGTTTTTCTTTAAAATTTCTTGTTACACCAGTTATAACACATCGTTCAATAAGTCCAGGGACTAACTATGAAAACAACATTTTACCCGCAAAATTCTTTATTATTCATCAACATAATCTCCTTCAAGTGTAATACAATCATTCCAATGCTTCTCTAACTTTTCAATGCCATGTTTGAAGAATGATTTGTCTTTTGACTCAAAATGAGCCTCAGTAGCAGCGATCACCTCCTCATTCGAGCCAAATCTTTTTCCCTGGAGCATCTTTTTGAGATCCGCAAAGAGCCAGTAGTCGCTGGGGGCCAGATCCGGCGAGTACGGAGGATGGGGAAGCAGTTGGAAGCCCAATTCGTTGAATTTGGTCATCGTTTTGATTGACTTGTGGCACGGTGCGTTGTCTTGATGAAAGATGACTTTCTTCTTCTTCATGTGTGGGCGTTTTTTCGCTATTTCGGCCTTCAAACGATCCAATAACACCATGTAGTAGTCGCTATTGATGGTTTTTCCTTTTTCGAGGAAGTCAATGAAAATTATACCATTCGCATCCCAGAATACGGACACCATCACTTTGCCGACCGACTGTTGTGTTTTTGGACGCTTCGGGCGGCTTTCACCGGTCGTATGCCATTCAGCTGAGTGCCGACTTGACTCCGGAGTGAAATGGTGAATCCATGTTTCGTCCACTGTCACATATCGACGCAAAAAATCCTGTTCATTGCGAGTAAACAGTGCCAAGCAGCTCTCCGAATTATTGATATGTTGTTGCTTTTGTTCCATTGTGAGCAAACGCGGCACCCATTTGGAAAAAAACCTTTTTCATAGCCAATTTTTGATGCAAAATAGTAAATGCACTACCAGTTGATATGTTCACCATCTTAGCTATCTCGCGCACTTTCATTTTGCGGTCACCCATCACGATTTTCAATACTTGCTTGGTGTTTTCGGGAGTTACTGCCTCATTTGGCCGACCCGAACGTTCCGCATCATTTGTATCAGCACGACCGCGTTTAAAGTCAGCATACCACCGACAAATGGTTGTTTTCGACGGAGTAGAGTCCGGATAACGTTTTTCAAGCCATTGCTGAGCTTGAACAGTGTTTTTTCCCATTAGAAAACAATGTTTTATCAACACACGAAACTCGTTTTGGTCCATTGTTTCACGATTGCAAAGGTAGCGTCACTTTAACCACTATAGCTTTCTTGGTTATGTTTCGAATTACATCAAATTTTGACACATCTCATCTAAAGGTTGGTACTTCTGAACCTTGGTATATACATGGCATTATTAGCGCCATCTCTACGCTAGTCCCGGGACTTATTGAACGATGTGTTACTAGATGATTTTGGTTTTTGCCCTGTTTATTAACTTAGGTTTATTTGGAATATTTCTCACATAGAAAGGGTCTTTTAACATACAGGCTGTTACAAATTCGCTTCTCACTACAGGGATCTCGGAAACGGTAAGAGCTACGAACTATTTTAAATGGGGGCAAAGTTGTGTAATCAGGGGACCAACATTATGCCCCTAACACGATTAGTTTTCGAAATATTTGAAAAAAACCCGATATGTGTTTTGGAAATCCGTTTTTGTTTAATTTCAGCATTGTTTGAGGTGATATTGAAAAAAGAAGAACACTTTCTCATGGCTACTTTTTGCCCTCTATCGAATAGCATAATCAATTTTTTATATGTAATGTTTCGTCTCTCCAGGACCATCATCAATTTCATTTTTTTTAATACATTGGAAATTTTATTACATTTTTTGCAATCGTTCATGACCCCCAATACTGTACTGCCTCAGCCCAAATCAGATTCAGACGTTTTGTCTCGAAAAATTCATCTTCAGTGTATTCGTTCCAAATTTATCTAAATTTTTTATTTAGATTTATTTGTTTATTGAATTATCGTACACTGTAACTGTCGTTAGACCCTGTGAAATCCATCTAATTATTTAAACTGTTACCACCACACGTTACAATAAAACATTTATTATTATTAACTATTACCATCACTTGGTCATACATAACTCAATAAGTTCTTGCGGCAAAATTAAAACATTATTACTGTTTTAATTTTATTATGACACATTCTTAAAAATGCATATGAACAACCAAAACGCCAACTGAATATTATTCTTTAAAAAATTTCAGTAAATATTCAAAAACAATGTTTTCGCAAAGGTTGAAAATGAGGATCCGCGTAATATCGGAATTTATTACACTGTAACTGCAACGGTGAAAAAGCATGTCAAATGTATTTGTATGAATATCCTGAAAAAAAAATAGATCGGAATTTGTTTTAATTGAGCACTCGATAAGCCTAGAAATAACTATGGACATGGGAATAAAACTCTAATGTTTTATTTTAATGTGTGGTGGTAACAGTTTAAATAACTAGATGGATTTCACAGGGTCTAACGACACTTACAGTGTACGATAATTCAATAAACAAAGAAATCCAAATAAAAAATTTAGATAAATTTGGAACAAATACACTGAAGATGAATTTTTCGAGACAAAACGTCTGAATCTGATTTGGGCTGAGGCAGTACAGTATTAGTGGTCATGAAGGCTTGCAAAAAATGTAATAAAATTTCCAGGGGAGTATTTAAAAAATGAAGTTGATGATGGTCCTGGAGAGATCAAACTTTACATATAAAAATTGATTATGCCATTCGATAGAGGGCAAAAAGTGGCCATCAGAAAGTATTCTTCTTTTTTGAATAACACCTTAAACAAGGCTGAAATGAAACAAAAACGAATTTCCAAAATTTCGTTTTTTTTCAAATATTTCGAAAACTAATCCTTAACCTTGATTTTTTACAGGCATATCCCTTGATTATGCAACTTTGCTCCCATTTAAGCTACTTTGTATCTCTTACTGTTTTCGAGATCCCAGTAGTGAGAAGCGAATTTGTAACAGCCTGTATATGCCATTTCACTATTAATGTAAATCCTATATCCCGTTTGGATACATTATAATTCACTAAAAATAATAATTAAATTCAAGGACACTCAAAAGAAAAACACCGTCCGTGAAAATAACAAATTTTCAAAAGTCAACAGAGCATTAAAACATACAACTATGGATTATTCAATACGAAAGATAAACTACATAAAATTTATTGAATTCAGTATGAAGAACTACAAAAGCAACACAAGACAATTTTCATGCTGTAATAGAATTTTTTGCATAATCAAGAATACAATTTTCATTAAAATTTAAATAAAAAGATAAGAACCATTTCAAAATACATCGTCTAGTGATTTTCAGCATTAATATTTGTGTCCTCCTATAGATCTAGAGGATATTGATTAGTCAAATCCCTCTAAAGCATTTTTCAAATTTCAAGTCAATATCTCTAAAACTCTGAAATAATTAATAAAAATAAATAAAAAAATTAAAATTTAAATACTTTGTATCTCGGAAACGATGCATATTTCGACTTACGGTTATATGAATTTTTTTTCACAAAATAACTGGCAACCACCCCCTAAAATATTTCGCACTTATTTACAAACACCCTGTATAATCAGTATACTTATTTTTTATTAGGAATCTTCGAATGATATAAAGTTTCAAAAATAAAAAACACCGGGATCAGCAGAGTTACTTCAATCATGGTTTTATCCAATACAAGAATTTTTATATAAAAATGCTGTTTCATTGAAACACATAAAACATATAAAAGACAACAAGTCATCACATTCAGTGTGGGAAATGGCCACATCCATGACATGAAAATTGTACATATGGCGGGAAGCGTATCTTATTAATTCTTCTTAACTCACACGCGTGCCCATGTTAGCAGAGCGGAAACATCATTTGAAAATCGGCACCGCAGTGAAAAGGTTAAAACATATTTGAACAAATTCGAAATACATAATTCCCGGTTCGAATTTACCTAATAATCTTTATTTGCCCATTGCAATATATTTTTAGAATTAACGTTTTCATGTAACACAGCTAAAAGTTAAGTTTACTAGGTACAACAAGTGTAACTATTATTGTGTGCATGTGAATGGGAAGGTCATGACAACTTTAGCTTGATAGCTTATGTTCGGCTAATTTTAGATAAGGCCGATTTTACCTCAAATCATGTAGAGCTCCATGTGGACCTCTCACCAAGCTACTCCAAAATATTTTTTTATTGTTCTAGGTCACAAATAAGAGGACTCCTATTTTTTTTCTTTTTCCTCTTAGACGCATAGTTCCCTCTATTATGTACTCGGAAAATGCATCACCGAAAAGAAAAATTTAAAAAAATTTCCGACTGCATTTTGATTGTATTTTTTTGCTCTCAAATTTTATTTGCACTGCATGATGATGCGAAATGTGAAACAAGTCTGTAACTTCTTTATTTTTTGGCCGAATTTTTTTTTTATGTAATGTAGGGTAAAAAAAACTATCTAACTAATTGATACTGCTGTTTTTTATTAATGACACGCGGTCAACTAGTGCTCGCCTAAAGATGTATCAAATCTGATGAAACTTAGTGATAAGACGTTTTAAGGGATGCTGAATAAGAATAATTTTATGGATAAAAATCGCTAATACCAATTAACTGTTTTGACATCAAGAAAATGTGTCCTAGTTGGCCGTGTATTGCATTAATAAAACAGCAGTATCACAGTTAGATAGAATTTTTTACCCTGCATTTCGCAAATTTCAGAAAGATAGCTTTGAAGGTATTGGTATTAAGAATCTCCAACAAAAATTTAAAAGAAAACCAATTTTTTTTCGAAGATGCACTTTTTGAAAAAATGCATTTTCTGCCGGACAATGCATTTATTCGCATTTTTGAAAAGGTAGATTTGAAGGGCTCCATCCCCTCTATCAGGTAAAATAAGAATTATTTTATCGTATCAAAAAATAACAAGCAATCAAAATGCAATCGGAAAATTAAAAAAAAAAAAGAAAAAATAGGGGTCCTCTTCTTTTTGACCTAGAACAGAGGTCGGCAAACTTTTTAAGCGGAAGAGCCATCTGCAATAAAAATATAAATTTCATGAATTTCAAAGAGCCACGAATTTTTATTTCTGTTTCTACATTTTATTTTAAATTCGAATTGAATATGGAAGTCTATACGCATCTTTATGTGTACTCGTGTGCTGCATGTCTGTCCGCTTTAACTTTTAATTTTTAGGGGAATTTGAAGAGGCGCAATTGTCTCTTGAAAGAGCCGCATGCGGCTTGTGCGCCGCGGCCTAGAATAATAAAAAAATATTTTGGAGTAGCTTGGCGACAGGTTCACAATGGAGCTCTGCATGATTTGAGATGGAATCGGTCACAGTTTTTAGCTTATTATTTTGTAGTAACTGTTAAATACATTATTCTTCAATAATTATTTTTTAAGTAATTTAACAGATTTGCTTTTTAAGTAGCTGTAATTTTAAAATTTATGTTAGTATTTAATTGGCTGCAATAAAGTTTTCTTTATCAAGAAGTTAAAATTGGTTACGATTACTGCAAAATTTAATTTCAATTTGCTCATAAAGCCAGTTATTATTTTTTGACCTAGAATTCGTCACAGTGAATTAGAGTTAGAGTTAATCCGCAATATGAATCCGAGTTTGGTAAACTTTTTGGTGAGGTGGTGCAAAATTTAAGAATTGTCCTTCCATAACTACAGTCTTTTACGGCGGATACTCTCTCTCAAATGCCTCATAACGCCCAGATAATATTCTCTGTTGGCTGTTTTTCCATCCGGAAAGAATTCTGCGTTGACAACACCACAATAGTCGAAGAAAACAGTCATCATGAATTTGATTTCTGATCAACTTTCGACGTGTTTTTTTTTGGTTTCGGCTGATTAAAAAAGCCCCATTTGGAAGCTTGTTGCCTCGTAAATTCGTAAACCCATGTCTTGTCACCGTTTATGACACATTGCATGAATGTAGAGTCTGAATTAGCTCATTCAGGTGAGCAATATGTTTCCGACGCTCTATTTTTGAAGAAAATTCAGCTCTTTTAGAACCAGTCCTGCTGCAATGCGTTTCATACCCATAACATCAACTAAAATGATGCCAACTGATTTGTGGATAAGTTTCGTTCACATGCCAGCTCTCTCAAACTATAACGACGGTTTGTGAGCACCATTTCCTTTACTTTATCCATGTTTTCTTCAGTTGAAGAAGTTGAAGGAGGATCAGGACGTGGCAAATCATCGACCACTTCTCGATCATATCTGAATGCTTTGTACCATTCGTATGCTACGATTCAACACAAGAAATTCCGTTGCTAGCACAAGATTTCATCGAAAACGAAATTTAAATTTATTTTACACGGAATGTTAACGAATTACGACGTGGACCTCCCAAGGGTATTTCCCTTCATATAAAGACACAGATTTAAACAAAAATTATATATCTAAACATTTACAATTTTTATACGCATTTGAACTATGTTAAGAATGTGATAAAATGTATGTAGTAAAATTTAACCATTTGGAAGATTAAAAAATCATACATATTTATAGATTAATTACTCATTACGCTTCATTTAATTTTTACTATGTTGCCTTGATCTATCGTCTGCCCCACGATGTGAAAAATCTTATAATTACTTTCCACCGTTTTAAAAAGATATATTGGAATGAGAACGGTTCTATTGTCTGTCCTTTGTAAGGTGAAATACAGGTAACCGCGTTGCTTTTTAGCTTTGAACAAAAATAATTTTGGTTTGAACAAACTCACTTTGCGGCGTAGTCCAATATGTCGGCGTACTCATAGTCCTCCGTCAATCGTTGCAGCATGGACAACGGTTCGCTGAAATTCACCGGCATCGGTATCTTGGACAGGTCCTTTCCTATACAGTTCTTCATGATACTCCACAGATTTAGGGGGTAGTTGGGCTTGTCGGGGACTCGGGTGCGCCGTTGTCGCTTACTAGTATTTGAGGCTGCCGTATTTTCATTTGTTTCCGCGCTCCTCTCTGTGCCTGTCCGCGATATATTCGTATGTTTGCCAGTCACCACTACAACCTGAGAAAATGGATTAGAGGGATACACACGCACGTCCTCGACATCGAAACTTACCTGTTTCGTCTCACGTGTCTCCTCGGTTTCGCTAGAGCTGTCTGAACTGTTACGTCTGTGCCCTGTACGGATATTCAAGGTGAAGAGATCGTCACCGTGTTGGTTCGGAGTGCCCCCACCTTCAGCTAGAGCGTCATAAAATTCATTGTCATCTTCCTCCTCGTTCTCACTGGCACTAACTAAAATTGTAAAAAGGAAAATAAAATATCGATGGCGACAGAATTGGGGTACAAATATTAAAAAACATTATTACGATAACACAGAGAACGGAACTTTTTATCTATTTTCATTTTCTATCAACGGTTTGGCACAGAAAAATTGTTTAAATCGTCACACTGACATTATCACGAGTACACAAAATAAAATATCTTCTCTTACAAAGTACCTTGACAATCACATTTGTACCCCAAAATCTCACTAACTGTATACATTTTTACTACACAATTACGGCATAATATTGAAAATATAAATAGATTTACTTTAAAAGTTATGTAAAATTTTTATGGGCCATTAAACTGTAATGATTTGAACACTGCGAATTTCTCTTGTTGAAAAAACTAGGTTATGTCATCTATCAAAGTCAAACATTGGAAAGTCACGGAGCACTGGATGTTGAAACTGAACGTCTGAAAATCTCCAAGGCGTATCGTAGATGCCTATATTTTCATGCCATTTAAAAAATTGCAGCAAAGTTCACCACATCACTTTTTAGGTTATGTCCGCCTAATCGCTAGAAAATCGAAGGGAAGGCGCGAAAAACTCACCTTTTCCTCGAGGCACGACGTGTTTGAAACGGTTTTTCATAATAATCGACAAGCACGGGAGCCTAGACCGACATTAAGAAGCAACAAAAACAAATTAGTTGGCGATAAGTTCGACCAGCTGATAATCGAGGGCGAGAGGCGAGGGGCTGGTGGAACTAGTCGCGCCGCAAGGAAGCAAACAATATTCGTTGTTTGCGCTCGTTCGCCAAGTTTCACCGAAAAATAATTGGGATATTTCGTCGATTACAGATGTGCATTGTCACTTCAAGGATTTAGATACGCTCGATCGGGATCGTAGGACCGTTAATATGTATAAGGTTAATGAAGAGCGCATAGGCTTTCATATTTCATTGGTCCGCCGACCGCGAGTTTTTTAAGGAGTAGGCGGCTGCCGATTGATTGGAAAACAAATTACTATCGTGTCGCTGCCCCGCAACCTCTAACAAAGGTAGCCGTGACTTTAATGATTCGTCGCTTTAACGTGGCCGCGAGATCGATAAGATTATTGCCTCAAGAACAAACACTTTTATGAACGTGGTGTCACTGATTTGAGCTGATTTTCTATATAGATTTTAACGACTTTAAATGCCCGGAAAGAAAAAAACATTCCAGTGCAAATCACACAAATTAAAATAATTTCCATGGATAACGCGATCTACAGGGTGACTATTCTATAAACACCCCGTATATCTGCTTCCAAAGCACTAAAAACAGAAAAGACGACATGGCTAATGTTTTTTTTTTCAACTAACTTACTTGCTGGCCTCTGTGTGTGAGCGTTGGCGGCCTGTTCAAGCTTCGAGTGTTGTTGGGCCAAAGTCTCCACCATGTCTTGAAGTCTGGCCCTTTGCTCTTTTTCGTGTTGCAAGGCCCTCACCAGCTTGTGCCCATGATTGTGGGCCGTCTTTAAATACTCACCGCAAGACTGCAGCAAAATATAACACAGGTATAAGAAAAATACAGGGTGATTCATTAGTAATAGGACAGAGCTTAAGGGCATGTTGCTGACCTCAAAATAGAGCGATTAAGCCAAATATGCCTTATCCGAATGTTGCTCCTTTTCGATCTACAGGGTGTTAAAGTTGAAAAAATATTTTCGATTTTTTTAAATATCTTGAGCATCTTTGAACGGATTGTCTTGAAAGTTTGTACACCTATGTTTTCTGAGGTGGTAATTACGGAAATGGTAACTATTTTGCAATCACATCTAGGATGCGCTAGTTGTAGTGTTCCGTCGGAGTAAACATATGTCAAACTTTTTTGTCCTTCAAAAATCTGAATTTCCAATAAGAAATTATTAAACTACGTTCAATTCTAAATAAAAAAGATATACCTGTTAAAAATCGATAAACTTAACCGTTTTCGAAATAAGAACGATTTACTATTTCTTTACAAAATTATTTGTTTGAACGTACGCCTTTAAATAAGATGACTTAATTACGAATTAAGACAAACACAGTAACAACTGAAAATTTTATTATGCTTAAGTCTAATTACAAAAGATTCTCAAAGTGGCGACCATTGTTTTCAATACATTTTTTTATTCTCTCGTTAAAATTTTGTCTGACACTGAATAGACTTCTTTGTTGGTCTCTGATAATGTTAACAGATTCTTGTATTTTTGCCCACAGCTCTTCTCGAGTATGTATAACATCTTTATAAACTAAAGATTTAACGTTACCCCAGAAATAAAAATCTAGGGGATTTAAATCAGGGCTACGCGCAGGCCAAGGCACTTCGCTGCCGCGACCAATCCAACGGTTTCGAAAACTTATATCAAGATATTCTCTTACTGGTCGGGAGTAATGTGCGGGAGCACCATCATGCATAAACCAAAAGGTTTGCCGTAAATTTAAGGGGATATTTTCAAGAACGAGTGGCAAGTCATTTGTTAAAAAATTTAAATAATTTTCCCCATTAAGTGGACGGGGTAACACAAATGGTCCCAAAATGTTATCGGAAAGTATTCCACACCAAATATTTATTGAGAATTCATGCTGAAAATGTTGTTCTCGTGGCAAGTGAGGATTTTCCAGTTCCCAGGAATGGCTATTTCTCCAATTAAATACACCGCGCCGGGTAAATGTAGCTTCGTCCGTAAACAATATTTTATTATAAAATGTAGGGTCAGCATTTTGTTGCCGACGAAGAAACTGTGCGAACCGAAATCTACCAGGAGGATCTTGTGGCATCAACTGTTGAACCGGACGAAAATGGTAAGGATACAATTTTTCTTTGTGGAGTATTCTGAAGACGGAAGGCTGACTTACACCAGTAGCTGATGAAATTCGGCGTGTGCTTGTTTGCGTGTTTTCGGCAATTCGCACTAAAACATCCTCTTCTTGCTCCGCCGCTAATACTTTAGGCCTTCCAACGTCTCGTTTAGGGCGAAATGATCCCGTTTCTCCTAATCTGTCGTACAACGTCTTGAAAAGCTTGTGGTTAGGTTGTCTGTTATTTGGATATAACTCCAAGTACCTCGCTGCTGCATGACGACCACAATAATTTTCTTGGGCATACACACATACCATGTTTCTCATTTCAACAAACGAATAATCATTATGACGCGGCATTTTAATGAAAAAAATCACAAACGAAGAAGAACTAAACTGTCTAGTATTTATAAGTTGCTTAGAATTGACATAAATAATACATGACATTTCATTGACAGCGGCCTACTTCATTTAAGTCATCTTATTTAAAGGCGTACGTTCAAACAAATAATTTTGTAAAGAAATAGTAAATCGTTCTTATTTCGAAAACGGTTAAGTTTATCGATTTTTAACAGGTATATCTTTTTTATTTAGAATTGAACGTAGTTTAATAATTTCTTATTGGAAATTCAGATTTTTGAAGGACAAAAAAGTTTGACATATGTTTACTCCGACGGAACACTACAACTAGCGCATCCTAGATGTGATTGCAAAATAGTTACCATTTCCGTAATTACCACCTCAGAAAACATAGGTGTACAAACTTTCAAGACAATCCGTTCAAAGATGCTCAAGATATTTAAAAAAATCGAAAATATTTTTTCAACATTAACATCCTGTATCGAAAAGGAGCAACATTCGGATAAGGCATATTTGGCTTAATCGATCTATTTTGAGGTCAGCAACATGCCCGTAAGCTCTGTCCCATTATTAATGAATCACCCTGTATATTTATATACAGGGTGTCCGGGTTTATACTTCAAAAGAGACAAAAAACACTGGAACGGGGGTGAGTTCCTCTTGGAAAAACAGTTGTGGTAGTTCATATAAAATGTTTCCCATTAAAGTTGCATTTCCGTCATACAGGGTGTTAAAATTGTTAATTTGAAGAGGGTTTTTCTAAATTATCCTTAAATCGACTATAAAGATGTCAATTTGTGCAAACCATTTTATTACAAATAGCAGTGGCGTGGATGCGGGTAGTTTGTGGGGTATAATTCTAACAGCTTTGCAAACCCCAAAGGATAATACAAGACCAACTAAAAATCCCCGAATCTTACCGTCATCAGTTGTAATGATTCGTTTACAATGAACATATTTTTTCAAGTTAATATTTTTAAATTCTGCTGTTTTATGTGAGTTACAATCTTCATTTTTCTCGAAAAATGTACTTCCTAACGATTTTCAAGTAGTACACCTTATTTTTGTATGGTCTTTTGGGGTTTGGAAAGCCGTTAGGATATTTAAGATATTAACGACTTTTAACATATTTTTTCTTCAATTAGACCCCTCAAACTACCCGCATCCACGCCACTGCCATCGGGATTAAAATAGTTTCTGCGTTTTCCGTAAGAAAAATTGATATTTATTCGTGTACAAATTTCGACAAACACATTTATCTTTAGTCGATTTAAAAAACGCTATCCAATAGGAACTCACTACCCCCTCCCTCCTCCCAGTTTTTTTTTAAGTATAAACAGGACTTCCTGTTCCTGTATATTTTCGGTAATACGGATTTATTAAAATTAAATCAACATGTTCCATGATGTCAATTGTGTGACAAATCTGACAAGTACGCGTTCAACATTCCACTGTTTTATCGTGACAAAGCTATTGGGACAGTCGCAGTGATCGATTTTCCTTGAAATATTTGTTCTACGTAAAAAAAAATTAATCGGGGCGAAACGATAAGTTTTGACAAAGTGTGGCCTGATAAAGATACGTCATTCTGATATCAGACACAATAATTGAATCCTTGTTTGGTAAATGTCTGGGCCTAATGTGACTTGATAATCGCGTTTTGCTACAGGACCGGCTTCGCCCGATGAGAAAGTGCGAGCTTTGCGAATTACGCGATAAGTGATAACTTTACGTCTCAGATTATTTAAACGCAAATGCAAATATAGCACATAATCCCATTTGATGTATTTAAATATAGGACTCGATTTGGTTGAGCAGTTTATAGGGCAATTATTTCAATAATTTCTAACTTTTTATGAAGCAAATGAGGTAAGGTTATTTTTAAAATGATAAAATGGATATTGCTATATTTAATCTTTGTAAATTTGGGAAATAAAAATATATTTGAAACTTTACAGTTTGTTACAATGAACTAAAATGCATCGTTATTTTTAGAATTCTGAAAATTACGGATTTTACCAATTAAAATTTCGAAGTATAAAATGTAAATATATAATTTTTTTCTCACTCACGTTTATCATGGCGTTGGTCGCGATCCTGAAGAGCGTAGCCCGCTCGCACACCTCCTTCGTCTTGCTCTGGAGGGCCTCGGAGTCGGCGTTGGTCTCCATCTCGCTTAGGGGTTTCGTGAGGTTCTTCCAGTGCTTGGCCAGCACATCGCTGCAGGTCTGCAGGTCGTTCAACTGAGATTCTAGCTTCCTGACGATGCCCGACCAGTCCTCCGGGACGCCGTTCACCTCGGCCTCCTCGTCGTCCTCTTCTGACTCCATGTTCCTTCTGGAAAAATCACCGGAAGTCAACTGCCTAGAACCACCTACAACGTAAGGCCTCACATCTGACGCGTCACCACCTAGTGACGTCACTACCAGTTTTCTTTCATTGAATTTTTAATAAGTAAATAAATATCCTTTCGTTCGTTGCTTTACCGAACGACACCAATATAGTGACGTCACGTCACTCTAATGCCAGCAATACGCAATAGAGTGCCCCGTCCATACTTACATCGCCTTGGCCTTAGCCAGCTCAAGGGCCGTCACCCACTGTTGCCTCTCCACCTCCGTGGAGGCCTTGATGTGGAACGTCTGGGTGCCGCCGTTGGAGATGACGAAGGTGCAGGTGTCCACGCTGTAAATAAGGGCTCCGTGCAGGGATATGCTGCCGCGACACGTGTGGGCCATCTCGGCTTGATTTCTGCAAGAAAAAGAACGCCCAGTAGAGCGATAAGGTTGTATAGGAAAGAAGACGCACTGCAAAGAATTCAAACTCTGATCCCAACTTTATTAACAAAGTGCTATGGACGGATGAGTGTTCTTTTAGCCGTACTGGCATTTTAAATAGGTAGGTACCGTACCACTCTTTGAAAAGCAATAAGCTACATAATAACGTATAAGTACTACAAACTGAATAGTTAATTGAACGTATAATTCTACAAGCTCATGTTAAATTATAAAACAGTGACAACTGTTTATTCGTTGTCGTGCACTAAAGATTAAAAACGCATTAAAAGCTAGGTTAATGACCGAATATTACGATAGATCAAGATTCACTCTCGATAAACCTTTGTGGGTCAGCGGTCAGGAGCAGTCCGAAAAGGGGGTTTAAATGATTTAAAAATATAAAGCGTAATTCGTATTGAACTCATTTTTCCCTATCTTCCCTTAAAATTAATGACATTATGACTGAATCACCCTGTATACAGGGATGGCCAGAAGTACGGAATAAAATTCATATCTTTTGAATGAGTTAATTTTTTTTAAAACGCCGAAACACGTTAACTGATTTTGATTTTTTCCCATCTTTCGGTTATATAATAATTAATTTTTCTTCAACCCCCTAACCCCCAGCTACCCCTACTTTTTTTTTCAAATGGAAACATAAGGCATGAGGGGGCTCGTTGAAAAGCTTATAGAAAACCGAATCCAGCCATACCAAATAAACAAGTTTTATTTTTTCAATAACAAGTTTTTTTTCATTTAGAAATTGAAACAACTAGATAATTTACAAAAATAAACTCAATGTCGCAAATGCTGAAAATGTCCTCCATTCACTATTTGGCATTCTCCAAGACGATAGTAAAAGCTGTCCACAGCATTCTGAATGACTTCAGCTGGTAAATTATGCATCTCCGCCCTAATCTTGTTCTTTAAATTCTCAATATTATCCGGTCTGTCCTGGTAGACTCTTTCTTTCAAATATCCCCAAAGAAAATAATCCAGGGGTGTTAAGTCGGGGGATCTTGGCGGCCATTCAACTGTACCCCGTCTACCAATCCAGCGATTTGGAAACATTTCATCTAAGTATCTTCGAACATCAATACCAAAATGTGGGGGAGCGCCATCTTGTTGGAACCAAATTCTTTCATTCGGTATATCTGGATCAATTTCATGAGGGAAAATCACAGCTAGAGCAGGTATCAGGTCAAATGTTAGGAAATCCAGGTAGCGTGCGGCAGTAAGATTTTCTTCAAAAAAGAATGGGCCCAAGATTCTGTTGTTGATGATACCTGCCCATACATTAACTTTTTGTGGATGCTGCGTATGCGATTCGCATGTCCAGTGTGGATTTTCCTGGGACCAAAAGCGATAGTTGTGCCTGTTAACCACTCCATTTAAATAAAACGTAGCTTCATCCGAAAAAAGTACGTCTCGTTGAAAACCATTATTGTCGTCACACCGTCTCATCATTTCTTCACAAAATTGTAATCGCCTATCATAATCGTCTTCCAAAAGCTCTTGGACAAGACATACCTTATAGGGGTGGTATTTCTCTTGTTTCAGAAACATTCGAATTGCAGTTCGAGAAGCATCGTGATTGCGGGCCAATGAAACAGTTGAAGTATGAGGATTTTCAACAAGTTCTAATGCAATGTCTAATTTCTTTTCTTCATTCAAAGCACGTGCCCGTCCAGTTTTGGGCAAAGTCTGTACTGTACCGTGTTCCTCAAATTTGTGAAATATTTTACTAACTGTCCCTTGCGAGATTTGGTTTTCGGGATATTTCGCATTAAATAAATCGCGCACTTCAGCCTGACTTCTTATTTTGTCTCCACATCCAAGCAATATCAAGATTTCGATGCGTTGCCTTTCCGACAATACCATTGCAATTCAGTAAATAACTTGATTTTGACACAATAGTAACGTTTCGAACTCCAATTTACAACTAAAGCGAAAAATTAACCAGAAAGCCTGGCAAGTAAGTGGTGCCAAAAAAACGCAACATAAAAAATATATCTTTTTTGCGTTAGCAGTGATAGGTACAGTTTCAAATTCTTTATTTTATTCTGTGCAAATTCATGGAGGATAACACTGAAGATAATTAAATTTTATTTCACTTGTTAAGTAGGTGTTTTATACAACCCTAAAAACCTTGCTATTGAAAAAATAAAACTTGTTTATTTGGTATGGCTGGATTCAGTTTTCTATAAGCTTTTCAACGAGCCCCCTCATGCCTTATGTTTCCATTTGAAAAAAAAGTAGCGGTAGCTGGGGTTTAGGGGGTTGAAGAAAAATTAATTATTATATAACCGAAAGATGGGAAAATATCAAAATCAGTTAACGTGTTGCGGCGTTTTAAAATAAATTAACTCATTCAAAAGATATGAATTTTATTCCGTACTGGCCATCCCTGTATATAAAAATCAATGTTAGTCTGCGTGTCTGCACTTATAGATTCGAATATCACTCGATCGACTGAGTTCAAGTTTATGGGTTATGTTCGACATATTACTGGAAAGGTTTAGAATGTAGTTTCAGCAATTTTCAGTAGGTGCATTATTACCATACAATATTGACAAACTATTGAAATTGCCCTGTCGCTGCGAAACGTGGCAGGGTTCAACGAGTTTTAAAAATAAAATTGAGATTATTAAATACAAAATTAAGATCATCTTCATATCGTAAATAAAACTGAAAAGATTAATATTTAGAAAAAAGCCTTTATATACAATTGACTAAAACCCAACACATAAGAACTGAGGATGTGATAATAAAAACGACGAAACGTCGATAAAATGCAATAATGTTTTTTTGTTATACTTTCTAACCCAATCCAGACCAAAAAAAGAAAAAACTAACAACCGGAGGTCACCAACAATTATTTAAAAGAATAATATTGGATTTCAAACTAGATAAATATATCCACGGTTCTGTGCTGCTCTCTCTTGCATTCGTACGTACAAATACACATGGTTTCGCAAACATATTTCACAATCCGATTAATAATTTGTATTGTAATAATTAATATATATTCAATTTTCACTTTTGATGACGTTGTATACATTTTTATGCAACAGGTTTTCTCGCAATCGAATATAGGTAACAAAATTAAACAATTTGTTGCGATGTCATTGTTTTTTATTTCTTCTGAAGCTCCTCAGCAATAATCTAATTTGCTAACAACTGTTTTGCAATACACATTTTAAAAAATTTTTTATTTTATAACTTAGATTCGTTAATACATATGTATAATATTTAAAAAATTAACATGCTAATACTTTGTTTATGATAACACGGTAAATATATTTTATGACAGGATATCCTTGACAAAATATGAAAAAATTCCAAACAGTTTCAATGTCACGATCTTTCCGGGGGAATTTTTCAACATTTTAGATTAATTTTTACAACATGAATTTCAATCTTGTCTGCGCATATAGTGTTACAATTTATAGGTGTACAACTGGAGAAAACACAGTGTAATTGATGTAACTAGAATGAGATATAAATGAAGGTCAAATATTTCTTATTTAGTAAACCCTAAGCCTCGTTGCACACTAGCCGGACCGGCTAACCGGACCCGGCTATCCGGATCCGGCTGGCTCTTTCACACGTAAATTAATTTTCAAACCGGTTTGGCCGATATTAGTCTCATTGTCAGTTGCATTTTTATCACGACAAGAGATGAATCGTAGACGCATTGCAATTATGTGGCTTGGCTATTGCCGATGTCGTCGCAATAAAAAAAAAAAAACAAAAAATTCCGGCTACAACCCGGCGGCCGTTTGCCGAATAGCTCCTTCCGTCACGTGTGAAAGCTGCCATAAGACTCTGTACACCTTGCTGCTGGCTAACCGGATCCGGTTAGCCGGTTCCGGCATGTGTGCAAGGGGTGTCATGGCGACCGGCTACAACCCGGCAGACGTTCGCCGGATAGTTCCTTCCGTCACGTGTGAAAGCTGCCATAAGACTCTGTACACCTTGCTGCCGGGTAACCGGATCCGGTTAGCCGGTTCCGGCATGTGTGCAACGGGTGAAAGAACAAGCACATTCGAAAACAGTAATTTTTCTCGGAATTGAAGGTACATTTTTGGAAATAAAAAAAATAAATAAAAAATAAGCGTCTAAAAAATAAAATAACTGGAAATATCTTCTTAGCATACCGGGACAAGTTGTCGTATGTTTACTTTATTATAAAGGTGTTAAGTTAATTTACTTAAATAATTTTAAAGAATTTTTTTAATAATCTTATCAAATGAAGTCAAGCAATGTTCTTCGATACCAGAAATCTAGGTATGCACAAAAT